AAGAATCTTATATGTTTCTATAAGATCACCCCTAATTCTTCTATATTCTAGAGAATATAGGCCTAGTTTATTAAACCTATCCTCATAGGTCAACCCCCTCATCCCAGGAACTAACCTATGAATCCGCTCCACCCCCTCTAAGGCGAGTATATCCTTCCTTAAATAAGGAGACCAAAACTGCACACAATATTCCAGGTGTGGTCTCACCAAGACCCTATATAGTTGCAGTAAGACTTTCCTACTCTTGTATTCTAACCCTTTTGCAATAAATACAAACATGGCATTAGCCTTCCTAGTTGCTTGCTGTACCTGCATATTAACTTTTTGTGACTGGTGTACAAAGACACCCAAATCCCTCTGAACAGTAACACTATCTAGACTCTCCCCTTCTAGAAAATAATCTGTTTCTTTGTTTTTACGACCTAGGTGAATAATTTCACACTTCCCCACATTATATTCCATCTGCCACCTTCTTGCCCACTCACCTAGCCTATCTATGTCCCTTTGCAATCTTTTTGTGTCATCCTCAGAACTTACTCTCCTACCTAGCTTAATATCATCCACAAATTTAGATATTTTAAGTTCTATGTCCTCGACTAGATCATTGATATAGATTGTAAATAGTTGAGGCCCAAGCACTGATCCTTGTGGCACTCCACTAGTTACATCCCGCCAATCTGAGAAGGACCCGTTTATCCCTACTCTCTGTTTTCTACCCATTAGTCACTCTTCAATCCATGCTAATATGTTCCCATTAATCCCGTGGGCCGTAACCTTGTGCAAAAGCCTTTTGTGTGGCACTTTGTCAAATGCCTTCTTAAAATCTAAATATGCTGCATCTACTGGTTCCCCCTATCTAACCTGCTGGATACATCTTCAAAAAACTCTAAAAGATTAGTTAAGGATGACTTCCCTTTTGTAAAGCCACATTGACTCTGCCTAATCTTGTTATGGCCTTCCAGGAATCCCATAACGACATCCTTAATTAAGGACTCAAGAATTTTTCCTACCACTGATGTCAGACTAACTGGTCTGTAGTTCCCCATCTTCTCTCTCCCACCCTTCTTAAATAGTGGTGTCATGTTCGCAATCTTCCAATCAATGGGTTCCAGAATCCAGAGAATTTTGGAAGATCAAAGACAAGCCTTCCACTATCTCAGTAGCTGCCTCTTTTAAAACCCTAGGCTGTAGGCCATCAGGTCCAGGGGATTTATCAGTTTTAAGACCTGACAATTTACCTAAAACCATTTCTTTACTAACATTAATACTCTCTGTTTTCTTCCCGTTAGCCACTCTTCGATCCATACTAATATATTGCCTTTATTTCCATGGGCCCTAATCTTATGTAGCAGCCTTTTATGTGGCAACTTGTCGAATGACTTCTGAAAATCTAAATATACGACATCTACTGGTTCCCCCCTATCTAACCTGCTAGTTACATCCTCAAAGAACTCTAAAAGATTTGTTAAACATGACTTCCCTTTTGCAAAGCCACGTTGACTCTGCCTAATCATTTTATGGTCTTCTAAGTATCCCACTACAATGTCCCTAATTAAGGATTCTACAATTTTCTCTACTACTGATGCCAGACGGACTGGTCTATAGTTCCCCATCCTCTCTCTCCCACCCTTCTTAAATAGTGGTGTTACGTTTGTGATTTTCCAATCAATGGGAACCGTTCCAAAATCCAGAGAATTTTGGAAGATCAAAAACAAGGCATTCACTATCTCAGCAGACACCTCTTTTAAAACCCTAGGATGCAGACCATCAGGTCCAGGGGATTTGTCATTTTTCAATCCCAACAGTGTCCCTAGTACTAATACTTTACTGCTGTTAATTTCCCTAAGTTGCTCACTTACATTAGTTTCTTGGTTCCCCTCTATTTTTGGTAAGTTTTCAGTGTCTTCTAAGGTGAAGACAGAAGCAAAGTATCTGTTTAATGACTCTGCCATATCTTTATCTCCCATTATAATTCCTCCTGTCTCTGCCTGTAATGGACCCACATTAACTTTTGCTAGTCTCTTCCTCTTTATGTATCTGTAAAACTCTTGCAGTCTGTCTTTATGTTCCTAGCTAGTTTGCCCTCATAAACCATTTTCTCCTTCCTAATCAGTTTCTTTGTTGGTCTCTGAAGCCCTTCCAATCCTTGGGTTTACTGCTCTTTTTGGCAGTGTTATAGGTCTTTTCTTTTAATTTTATACTTTCCCTACCTGCTCTAGTTAGCCATGGTTGAACCACTTTTCCTGTAGTATTTTTATTTCTCAAGGGAATATGTGATCGATTTTATAACAAACACTAGGAAGTATTTATTTATACAAAGATTTGTTAACAGCTGGAATGGGTTACCAGAAAGGATAGTTGAGGACAAAACAATGATGGTGTAATGGGAAGACATTCAGCCTCGATGTAAGGATGAGGAAAATTGACATGTGACGGATTTTTAAATTGAAAGCAGTCATGCTACAACACTTATATTTTAAAAATCCAGCATTCAACAGGAGGGGCTCCATGACATCCGGAAGATGATTGAAAATATATTGTCTTCCAGCTCGTTACGCTCAGAAAGTTAAGATGGCCAACGACAATAGCCAGTTCTTTCACACCTCTATTTGAATAAATCCTTTGAAGCCCCAACAAACCTCAATGTTTCATTGAGATCAAAAGCCTTTGTTGATGTATGAACTGACCTTCAAAATCATTTAGCTGGTAAGGTCCTGGATCAGAAGATATAGGTCAGATCAAGAATGAAACAGAGGGAGAAGAGGGAGACTTGAATGTTGGTGTGTTTGTGTCCCATTTGCAATCAAAACTGTTTGTCGATAAAACCTTCTGTTTTTATTTGTATTCTTTTGTCAATTGTTACTTTGCCCCTTTTGTTTTATTATTATGTATGACTTTTAAAGTCTGTGTGTATATTTATAGTATTATTTTAGTATTTGCAATTAAAAGCTTAGTTTTTTAATTCAAAAAGGAACCGGTGAGATTGTTGATATATTTACGCCCTTATTTTTTGGAGACTCAAGAGTGTTTCCCAATGTTTTAGTGTCAGCTTGATGTACCTATGCAAAAAGTACCCACCACAGAATAAACTCAGAAGCAGCGAAGCCGGTTGTAGCTGAAATTGATAGTAACCAAGAAAGGAGATACTGAGGACATTCAATAAAGATAAATCAGGCAGAATTGAAAATTTGGGAAAAGGCCAACAAGCCATCTTCATCCAACCCTCTCTTGTTAATAAAAGCCAGGTTTGGGATCCAGTTACTTTGTTAAGACCCCTCTCTCTCTCTCTTCATTCATTTATCAGAGTTGAGCAATAGCATTTCAAGATTACAGTCTTTTCGGGAAATGAGCTGTCAGTTTCATGTAAGGACCTCAAACTGAGTTGCGATGGAGCTCCCTACAGAAATGTTGAAAATGTAGCTATTTCTAACTCTTTACTGTAACTGAACTGGAACTTGCTGCTTTCTCTATTTCATCAAACCATCAGTCAATAATGCTCAATTAACTGCCTATCAAGTGATATTCTGTTGCACCAAATGAGATTTCATTATCAAAGGCTTTCACTGTCTTATGGAGAGACATATCTACAAGGGTATTTGCCAGAAGCACATGATCTGATCTGGAACCAGAGTGTCAGGAAGGAGTTACGCATTGCAGCATCCTAATGACAAGAAACAAATAGCACATCACCCTTTGTGGATGATTTCCTAAAGAAGCAATGGGTCAGTAAGCAGGAACAGTCTGCTCATTCTACAGATACAAACCCAATAGGTTGCTTGTGTGAATATCCAGAAGCCAACATCCTGTCATCAACTGCAGTAAGTAATTAAAGATGACAGGAGAGCCATCCCATGGTAGCCCATTCTTTGATGGGGACATGTTATCTGTTTGGTTAATTGCTTAACTTGGATTGTAGCAATGTATCCCCAGGTAGTTTTAAATAAATTAGACAATTTATATTCTCTTTACAGAGAAAGTAAGGTCCATTAGATCGTAACATGCAGGTTACCACAAACGTTTCTGACCTTTACTTAGGTTTCTCAACATTTGCCTTGGGCCCAAGGCAAATGTTGAGAAACCTAAGTAAAGGTCAGAAACGTTTGTGGTAACCTGCATGTTACGATCTAATGGACCTTACTTTCTCTGATATTATTTTCTGTTTCTACACAATGACTCCACACCCATAATGCTTTAATACACTTTATATGGCGTTCGGTAGAGCAATATATAATGCATAACATAAGACAAGACCCAAATAAGCACTGCATCCAAAATGCAGCTCTTCCTATTCCAATCTTGTTATATAGTTTCAAGCGCAACACTTTTAAGAGGGTTTAGTGTGTTAGACCTACATATCTGGCTTTTTGTAGGATGTATAAGTTCGCCTACAGAAGAATCATTACACTTTACAGTATATCCTGTAAAGTGCTTTGAGACGTCCTCCTACAGTGAAAGGCTCTATAACAAATGCGTGCTTTTTTTTAATATTAAAATTATGACAAATCTTCCTTCAAAGAGTTTGAAAGGCTATGCTCAGTATGTCATAACCAGGTAAGATTCGCACTTTGGATAAAAAATTGGCAATGGTTTCCAATCTGTCACCCTTCGGGGATAGGTTTAAAGCAGTGCCAGCCAACCCATGGCCTGCAGGCCAGAAGTGGACCATGGGGCCGTCAATAAGTGGCCCACTGAACATTCACACATGTCAATAGCTTGTATCCATTTTTTTCTTGGTTGAATATTTCTTGATTTATGGCATAAATCAAGAAATATTCCATCAAGAAAATGTATTTTGTTGGCCAACCAAAAAGATCACAAGAGAATTTTGGATGACGAAGGGCCTTCGGCCCATTTGATCTCATCCTGGTTACATATTACTCATTACAATCCAAGTAATAGGTGTAACTTGTGAAAAACAACGCATTTAACATTTTCAGTCACTGCCACACTGCCTTATATAATCAGTCATTTAAATTCAAAAGCTTCAAAAGAAGCTTTTGTTATTTGGCAGTAAACCGTTTATTGTTCTGAGTGTCATTTTGAATAATAACAGCGGTCTACTTACAGAGGTGGCCAAAGTTAGAATGTAATCACTTCAGATATATTTCAAACAATTACTTTACACGTCTTTCAAACATAATTTTATACGTATTTCAAACGTCATTTTATACCTATTTCATTTAATCATTTCATGCATATTTCAAGTGATTATTAATATATTTCAAGCAATCATTTTATAAACCCAGTATTTCAATCCATCTCTTTATACACATTTCTAAAGGCAAACTAAAAGTTGGTATGTTTAACTACAAATACACAGTAATTACACTTTACAGTAATATCTTGTGAAGCACTTTCAGGGGTTTCAACAACACGATAAGGCATTATGTCAAATGCAAGGATTATTATAGGTAATAGGCTCTAACATGAAGTGTAAAGGTTTGCACACAAGAAAAAGAGTAGGAACATTTTATAAAGATCTGCAATATGTTGCTTTTGGAGCCTTTGTGTAAAGCAATGTGAAATGATATTAGATTTTTTTCTAATATGTGAATAGATTTCTCTATGTGAACCAGACCCCTATATTTTTCTGGATGCATTGTTTCCATTAAACGTATGAATTTTTATCAAATTGTTTTGGTTCCATTCCCACGCCTTTGGCTGACCTCACTTCTGTTGCACCATTGTACACCATTGTCCGAGAAGGAAGAAATGGTGCTGCTCCATAACCCATTCTGAAAGAAATAAAACATGTTAATAATGAAATGCTGTGTGTCCCCTTCTCAAAGCATGTGCCACAGTTATGTCCTGAACTTAACAAATTCTGTTTTTTTTGTGTCTATGCAACACAGCAATGCACAGGAAAGGGTGGTAGATAAGTGCAAATGGCAAAAGCAGCTTAGGCACAATCTCTGCAGATATCATTGCCTTTAGGACCTTCATTTTCTAATAGAGTAAAATATAATAATAATAATCCTTGCATTTGATATAGCGCTTTTCACGTCGGGAGGACGTCCCAAAGCGCTTCACAGAACACACTGTAAAGTGAATTGACTGTATATTTGTGGGCGAACGCGGCAGCCAATTGCGCACAGCAATGTCCCACAAACAGTCGTAGATTGAAAATGACCAATTTATTATTGTTTTTGGTTTTGGAGGGATTATTATTAGACGTGTGGAGTAAGGAAACTTGCTCAAGGTTTCGCCCTACCTGGAATTGAACTCAGGTCTCTCACTTGCAAAGCGAGTGCTCTAACCACTGAGCTACAGGACTCCACGTCCTGTAACTAACTGCTAATTTTCTATGTGTTCTTTGGACAAATTACAGAATAGAATTTCACCATAAATCAATCTTTATGAAATATAGAGGTTGTATTAAACTGGAGCATATTAATTACAGTCTAAGTTCATGCATTTTATACATGAAAATAGTTTAATGATAATATGTTATTCTATATCTCCAAACAAAATGTCTTAATTTACAATTTTTGGTCCCCATAAATATTATGTTGTAAAAAAGAATATATGAACTAAAAATCCTTATTTAATTTGATTCATAAACACACATCCCACCTTTATGAACATTTGTAGGTTTGAACATTACATTGGTGAAATGATATATTAAGCATATTTATATTGAATATAATATGTAATTGTGGAGTTGTGTTGCTCAGTGGTTAGACTACACGCCTCTGTTTACCTAGCAGTAAGTAGGAATTCGGTTATTAGTCGATTGGCGGATTGCTTTTCTGGGGATAATAATTCTCCCCCACAAAAATGATAATAATTTGGTCACGTAATCCACGACTGTTCATGAGACACTGCTGTGCATTTTGCCCACAAATATAGTCAATTGACTTTACAGTATATTCTGTGAAGCGCTTTGAGACGTCTAGAAGACGTGAAAAGCGCTATATCAAATGCAAGGATTATTATTAATATTAGAAATTAAACACATTATGGTGATTTCTCCTCAAATAAGAGTGTTTATGATGTGAAGGTATTTCGATTATGCTCTGAGAAACAACTTTCCCAATTTTACATATTATATAGCATGTTACAGCAAGGGAACCCGCTATTCGGCCTAACTAGCCTGTGTTGGTATTTATATTTTACATGAGCCTCTACCCCTCCCATATCCCTCTATTCCATTATTCTTCAAGCACGTATCAAGTTTCCTCTTAAATATGTTCATTCTTTCTGCTTCAGCTACGGCTTCCAGTAGTGAGTTCCACATTCTTGCTACCCGTTGCTAAAGACGTTCTCCTAAACTCCTTTTTATATGGAGTCCTGTAGCTCAGTGGTTAGAGCACTCGCCTCGCAAGCGAGAGACCTGAGTTCGATTCTGGGCAGGGCAAAACCTTGGCCAAGTTTCCTTACTTCACATGCCTGATAATAATTTCTCAAGAAAAAAAATAATAATAAATTATAACTTCAGTCCTCGATTGTTTGTGGGACACTGCTGTGCACAATTAGCTGCCATGTTTTGTCCACAAATATACAGTCAATTCACTTTAAGTATATTCTGTGGAGCACTTTGAGACGTCTAGAAGACGTGAAAAGCCCTATATAAAATGTAAGGATTATTATAATATACACTACTGGCTATGTTATAATTAATGCCCCCTTATTTTGAATTCACTGACAAGTAGAAGCAACTTATTCATGTCCACCTTATCGAATCCTTTCATAATTTTAAACACCTCTATCAGGTCCCCTCTCAATTATCTCATCTCCAGAGAGAAAAACAACAGCAAATTGCCTTTATATAGCTCCTTTCACCTCAGGAGGATGTGAAACTGTAATTTGTCCAATCTTTATGGCTTTTAGAGCTGAGTTAACATCTGCAATTATGTTACCCAGATAAAAAACATTTAACTGGAGCCCAAACAACCAGAATTAACACATGCTATTAGAATTTACATTTATAAACTAGATTAATCAGAATATAGATTTTCTCATGTAATGGCAAAAAATCCCTCAAAATTAGTGGATTTCTATTCTATTCCTAATATATTTTTATATCTTTAAAAACAACACAGTAAGAATGTGTACTGATTAAGATACGTTAAAGCTAATCTTTATTGCAAACGTATCAATCAGCACACAGTTTTATTAGATTACAGATATTTTCTAAGTGATTCAACTATACTAAATACTTATAATACGATCACTGTACCTTGGTGCAGTTCCATTAATCTTTTTTTATATCAGGTGGTCAATTCAGAGCTCTCATAAAATATTCATGCACTATGATCAAGGTCTCTATTTCATCTTGTAATCCTTTGTTTTTAGTAGGAGGAACATATTATGAGTATACATCAAAATTGTTCACATCTGTCATTACCTCATTTCTGAATTGGTGATCAGTAATGCAGTGAATTATTACACATTATAATATGGTTAGAAACAATCACTTCCAAAGTGACCAAACAGAAAGCATGAATTATAGACCTCTTGATCTGATTTATTTTGTTTCTCAGAGATCAGGCATTACATTTGCTAGTAATTCAACTTTATTAGCAACATAAATTAAAAAAATCTGGCCCTTGAATGCCAAAATGTATTTGATCTTAAGTAAAAATGCATATACCAGGCAGGTTCAGTACCTTGAAATGGGTCCCATCAAGTAAAAAGGCATCATTGGGTCTCAAATCTTTATCCTACTTTTCTTTATATTGCTCAGATCTTCGGCAAAACAATGAGGAGTATAACCTAAACCTGGCACCCAAAATGTACCATCTGCTGTATCTGATTTTTGGAGAGTTAATTGTAAGTCTGATACATGGCAATACTCAGCACCATGCAAAAGAACTTCCAAACTAATCTAATTCCATATGTGGAATTTCCCTTTGACTGGTTTCATTTGACTCTATTTTCCATTTGACTGGTATGGCATATGCACCTTCTCCCTGGAGGGGTACACAGTGCTTCCCTAACGCTGGATAGTTCAGGTGTAGGCTGGCAAGAACTAAGGATTGGTGACCTCAGTGTGTGAATTGGTGGACTGTTTGATTTTAACCAAATTGGCATTGGAAATGCTGATCATTTTTCCGCTGCTTGCTAGGAACCATCCTAGCTGTTCGGGTTTTGGCTTGCAGGGCTAACAGGCGGCAAGTGGGGAAAATCCCAGCCAGCAGTGAATGGTCTGCACTTCCAACGGCTGCCAATTTGATATCGTGCTTTTCACATCTGCTAGACGTCTCAAAGCGCTTCACAGAATATACTGCAAAGTGAATTGACTGTATATTTGTGGGTGGCAGCCATTGCACACAGCATGTCCCACAAACAGTCGTGGATTGAGTGACCAAATTATTATTTTTTTTGAGGGATTATTATCAACAGAAAAGCGATCTGCCAATCAACTAACAACTGGGTTCCTACTTACTGCTGGCTAAACAGAGACTTGTGGAGTGAGGAAACTTGCCCAACATTTCGTCCTTCCCAGAATAGAACCCAGGTCTCTCACTTGCGAGGCGAGTGCTCTACCCACTGAGCTACAAGATTCGACGCAAGTTATTTGATATGTTCAAATCCTCCAGTCTTCTTTATGACACCCAGCTCCCCTTTCAATAGATACATTTTTTTAAAAAGAGGACAGTTCCTGAGTGGAACATATTAAGGCAATTAACTGGAAAAAGAAGATTTCTCTCTGCAGTACTACCTCACTCCAACTAATCTCATTCAAATCACATATATTCTAAAAGTCTTTAAACAATGTGTTAGCATACCACACCAACAACAAATTATATTTGTATATTCAGCATTCTAAATACCTCCGTTCAGTCACAGCAGCAAAGTGTTCCATACTTTCAGATATAAAAATGAATGTATGAACTAATGCAGTGGTAGTGTTGTAGGTGATAAATATGGTGCACTCTTGTATTTTTCCAATATTTCTTCCAATCTTCTCGTTACCTATTCCCATGGCATTCCTAATCTCGTTTCCTTCTTTTTCCATTTACCATTAACGAGAAATTTGTTTCATTCCATATCCTCTCAAAACCTTTCAGAATTTTGATGACCTCTATGACAAATCCTAAAACAGTGGCATTAAATGTAAGACAAAAGCAATTATGAGGCATCTGACCCTTTAGTACAATAAAAGAATGGCATGCTGCAAGATATATTATAATAAATATAAGTATAATTTTAGAAACTTCTATAATGATGTTCTGCATATTCATGTGATAAACTTAAATGTACAAGTGTTTATTAAGTTGTACATTGCTGGTGTATACCTTAAATATAACTTGTTCCAAAGCTCCCATATTTATTCTTTGGTGCTTTGTACTTCTTTGTGCTGGTTGTGTGCTTCCAAAGTTGAAGGAATAGCACTGGCTGGTGCTGCATAGTTAATGGTGACTCTGCTGGTGAAGCAGGTGATCTTTTAACCTGTATCTGAAACTGAGCCCAATATACATATATCAGTGATAGGATTGTGTGCTACAGTCACTGGAGGCCCAATGATATCAGAAGCATTGACGATTGCCATTTGTGCAGGGATCTAGAACTGCCATTAACATGAATACCAAATGGTTTTGTAGTGCTCCACAGATGGCAGTGGTGGAGATCTCAAGATGCCCACTGAGCACAGAACAGTGGGATCCTGTGAGTTTCTGCCATAGTTGCCTATAATCAATCTTCAGGAGCTGCCAAGAATGTATCTTGAGTCTTCCACCCCAAGACCTTTATGACAGGAATAGGAGAATTGCTGAAAGCTGCCATTAGTGTTGCATATCCTCATTAGCAGACTGCAGTGATGTTTCGCTCTTGCATTTCATTAGGTTTGGGAACATTGAACAACATACGAATGCTGAACTCCTTCAAACTATCTTCCAATATTGTTTTAACGGAGACAAATAATTCTATAATAGGATTGCTTCATCACTTCTGTGTGAAAGCAGGTCTATTCAAAATTCTGCATCCATGCAAGTCATTGAGGACAATACCAGCTGGTCCTTCATGACTTGTATTGTTGCCATTCCATCTCCAGTGCCCTGTAGCTCAAAATGGACTTCCTCAGAAATGTCAACATTTTCCCCAGTATATTTCTCTGTGCTGATATTTGCTTCACTTAGAGGCAATGGAGGTTTATGTTTAGGTATGTGTTACTTTTCTGGTCTGGCAGACGTGTACTAGATTTTCAACATTCTGTAAAGAGAGAAGATGGTGCATTATCCTTGCACAGGAGCACATACATCCACTTGGTTACCACATTGCACCAATACACTGCCCTGACATAGCTTTAGTGTGGTATTATATAGTACTCGCTGTACCCATTGCAGCTTTGTTTGCAACCAAAGGATCCAGACAGACATTTCATCTTTATCTACACTCATTTGGGAGGACTCCTGTGGAAAGACTCCTTTTGGGAAGACTCAATGGGAGGATTCAATGCTTTAAAAATGTAATTTGATTGTTGTTGCCGCAGTGTATCTTGTCTGTGTTTATTTTGTTCCCGCCACCACTTGGCTACGCAGGATCCCACAGCCCCACGGTCAGCTGGCATGGTCACCCAGTGTAACTGCAGTGTGTGCTGTGGTAGGTGCTATGTGACGCACGATGCCACAGCATCACTTTGACTCACTGGCCACCAGGTGTAACTGCAGTGAAAAATGCAAAACTGAAAATAACTCATGAACGATAGGAGATACCTGAAAACAAATATGTCCATGTCACTCCGAGATGCAAGACCTTTCTGATGAGGTATAAATCATGTCTCCACATCAATTAGTTATAGAGATCCCTCTTGAGCACAGACAGACATTGTCGTTTTATTAGTATAGAAGAAGATAATAATAATAATCCTTGCATTTGATATAGCGCTTTTCACGTCGGGAGGACGTCCCAAAGCGCTTCACAGAATAGACTGTAAAGTGAATTGACTGTATATTTGTGGGCGAACGCGGCAGCCAATTGCGCACAGCAATGTCCCACAAACAGTCGTAGATTGAAAATGACCAATTTATTATTGTTTTTGGTTTTGGAGGGATTATTATTAGGCTCTGTGTGGAGTAAGGAAACTTGCCCAAGGTTTCGCCCTGCCTGGAATTGAACTCAGGTCTCTCACTTGCAAAGCGAGTGCTCTAACCACTGAGCTACAGGACTCCACATAGATAGATAGAAGAAGATAGAAGAAGAGAAGATAGATGATGTACTTATGCACAAATCAATGTGTATGGTTGCATTCTTGTGCCACATACTCTGGTGCAATTCATATACTATCTGAATCATATGGTATTTGCCACAATTGAATTCCTCTATTCCAACATAACTATCCCTCCTGAAGATAATCTGCTAGTTTTGCTTATTTGTGTTTGATGTGTGGAAATCATTGCTTGATAGCTTCTGTGTTTTTGTTGTCAATTTTTCTTCAAGCATAATATGGAGCAGTGGTGATTCAATCTCAGTGATTGGACCCATGGAATATCCTGAAACATATTCATTCTTCTATCACAGCATGTTCCTAGTAACTTGTACAATTTTGTTTTCTACATTAATGCTAAAGTCCCTACTGACTGACATGCTTCCCCCACCCCCACCCCCATTCTTTCAAGATATGTCTCAAATAGTATCTCTTTGACCTTGTTTTCAATCATTTTTCCCCTCCTCACCCCATCCCACCACAATGACCCTCAGCTCCAGTGACCATCCAGAATTGTCCTCATGTGAAAGGTTTATGTATATAAGCTGTAATTGTATTGTAAGTACTGCATTTTTGCACATATTTCCAATTTTAACTTTCTCACATAAGTATATCAATGGCGGCTCTTCAGGTGAAGCAAATGAGGCAAATCCTAGAATTTCAGGAGTATTAGAGCAAGGCAGTACCAGCTCAGGAGCCATGGGAACAAGGCAGTACTGGGGTGGGAGCCACAGGAGCGAGGCAATGCTGTCGCAGGAGTAAGGCCAGCGGGAGAAAGACCAATACATTGTGCATGTGTGAAGGGCCCATTGGCATGTTAACAAGGTAGCTTGGTTAGGCAAATTCAGATTGCCTCACCTGTCAAAAAAGGTGACCAGCCTTCACTGATGCATACGTGCCCCTTATCTTACTGCACAACAATGTTCCTCTCGTACCTTGATGCTTTTCTTGTAAGTCACACAGTTTTTTCAATAACATGTGTCACATCCTCTGAGTGTTATATGCACTGTCTGTATTTGGGGGACACAAACAATACCATAGCACCAGTCCATTTCTATACTCACCAAGCTTTGCAGGGCAGATGTACAAAAATGTCCTTTTCCCAAACCACTGTTCATGCATTTTGACTTCAAATTCATCACTCCACAACTGGATTTGTAGACTTTTAAGCTTTTATGAAATTCAATGGGCTTGTTAGCTGAGACGCTCATCATTGAGGGTACACCCTCGCCAACTGATGCTTTTCCATTAACGATAATAGAATCCTATTTCTCCCAAACAGCATTCAGTACTTAATTAAAAAATAATCACTGTATCCCCTTATCTCTAATATTTGCTGCCTTTTTATATTCAAGATAGCAGAGATATTTAGAAACAGCTGGTGGATGGGAGGCTGTGGTGGTGGGGTGGTTGGGTGGGGGAGCAATGATAGATGGTCTCAAGCACGTAAATGAAAGGCAGAATTCATTGAATGCAAACTTGATGCGTGTGATTTGTGCTGTTATTTTGTTCTTATTTCCATGCTGTAATGAAAATGAGCTCAAGGTTATAAGCCTGGATCCTACAGTAGTCGAGGCTGGCAAAGTATCAAAATGAATAAAAGAACTAAAGAGTATATTTTGGAACAGCACAGCTAACATGATACCTTTACCATGTTACAGTTTCGGCATGAACTCTACGTGCTCAGTTGATCTTTAGCGTGTTATAAATAACAAATTAACCCTATCCACTATTTAATTTCTGGAAAATATTCCATTACATTTCATTACTGGAAAATACTGCTCCATGTGCTACAGTGTAAACAATCGCAGCCTGCAAATCAATCAAACATTTATTTCCCATTATATTTTTCCTCTCTCGTAACACACGTCTTTTTTAGTGTTGAGATTTGTAGAATTCTTTACGGAAACAGGTTTAGAGCAGAGAGCTCCAGTGGGGACAGGCAAGGCAGAGGCGAGATAATTATTGCTGGTTATGGCGGTCGCATCACATTCCTCATTTTTCACCCTTATTATTCTTTGTCAACCTAAGCAAGAACTGACGGATCGCCCTGTGTAACAAATGGTATAGAATATCACACATGCCACATCTGAAACCTTGACAAGATGAAGGTGAAGTGAACACTCTCTCTGTTCATTTGAAGATCATAAGATAGGTTCAGGTAAGGAAGGCTCTTCAGCCATTTCAATTCATCCTTCAAGAATACCCATTCTAACGTCTTTCCATGATATCATCAAACAGTGTCTTAATTGAGGTTAGTCTCCTGACCCTTGCCACCCTTCCTGGTAATCTGTTCCATTTGTTGATTATTATTTGACTCCTACAATAATCATACCTTCGGGGATGTTTATCCTCAGATATTGAAAGGCAAAAGCTCACACCGCTCATAATGCATAAAGCAGCACCAGACCAGCCAACAAATAAAGCAGTTCCTAATTCATATCTGTGGAGGCAAACATATAAATTGAATGTTTACCTAAAACTTTTTAAACTTGCTACAACCTTATGTGCCATTCTTTAAAAGGAACGTATGTTCAAATATAGGCTACCAGACATTAAAACATTATTAGTGGAAGGAATCCTCGAATGAAATTCAGAGTAGTTATGTTATTGACATTTCTAACAAAATTAAAGCAAAATTCAGCTTAGATAATGCTAACATTAATACAGTTATTTTTTTCTGCTTTTAAGAACAGAAAATTACTCCTTATATTTTCACAAATCATTATATTTCACCTACAAAATACACATAGTCCCACCACCTTACAGTATATCACGTGAAGCCCTTTGAAGCATCTCAATGCCTTGAGAGGGCACTATATCAAATGCAAGGAACATTATTATCATAACATCAATTATTTAAAGATAGCTCTTCACTCACTTTCCTTCACCATGTGTAAAAGTTGAGCAATATTATACAGCCTTTAATGTATTTAACAGAGACAAGATGGACTGTCCCTATAAGTTTTTGGAGTCTTTCAGTTTTTCCTACTGAAACTTATAAAAAACACACCAACAATTATTTTGATGATGGATTTCTTGCAATTTTTTCAGTAACAATTTTAGTTGCAAGGTTTATTTTGTGTGCCATATCAATAAAAAAAACTCTCTCTAAACTGCTTAAAATGTTCAATTTACCTTAACTTCAAAAGAACATTTTGAGCGACATCAGTGAATTTTCATATACCTATACCAGCCATCCTTATGACCTCTTGGAGTAGAGATTGACAGTTATGTGATAAATTAGGGACTGGTTTGCACTGAGAACTTGCATCAATTAGGAATTAGATTAACTGTTAGTAAGCTCTATCATATTTCTCTTGTATAATTCAATGCAGATTCACTAGACTGAAATGCAACACTCGCCGAGAATGTTTCACATATGAACATTACAAATGGCAGAGAGAAAATGGCTTCCACCTTCGGTCCCAATGGTGGAAAGGCACTTTAATTTCAACCAATTGAGCCTTATTTATCAATGGAAAATTGCTATTCCCTGTAAGGCACGTCCTCGATATAGTAATCCAGCTCGAAGGCATCATAATGATGATGGTGTTTTGCAAGAGGAATGGATGATTTTCCAACCAACCAAATAATACCATTAGTGAGAACCATAACATTGAAATTTTGCATCTCATTTTTGGAGCTTTCTTTAAATTCCAAGGCACTGTACCATGTGACAAAGTGACAAGAGTCTAAGCAAATTCCTTATAAAGTTGAAGTTCTCTCAACAAACTGTTATTCAGTACCTTGAGAACTGTTATTCAGCTAGTAATCTCAAGAATGCCTATTTGTATGCAGAAATCACAGAGTGCAACCTAATATTTAGGTTCAAGGTAAACAAACAAGTGATTCATTTAGTTAGAAAAGGAGGAATTTGTAAATTATTAAATGGGGATGTTTATGTTTTCTTATCCAACAAAGATAGATAGCATTTGATGTTTTTCATTGTTATTGTGATTTCCTGATATTTGAAATGACACGTGATCAAAAAAGATTCAAGATGATAAATGAAGGGAAGATGCCAGTATATTGCTGAATGCAAAAATCATGTGGACTCAGGGAAAAGTTTATTAAAGAGACATTAATACTTCCAAATATCCAGTTTGTGGAGAATACATAAATTCAGGAACTAATCTAACCTTTTCCTCAATGCTATTTAGTTAATGTTTATTCTTTTGTTCTGTTCTGTGTCCGCACAGTCCTATCAAAGTACTCTTTTGTAAAAGGACTTAGTGACCCTTAACACCCTTTAAAAGAGGAGACCTTCATCTGTTCTGCCAATTGCAAGAATTCATATTATAACTTCCTTCAAATTTATGATCAACATTAATAGCACTGGAAAACAACCTGATATTGGAATTAAATACTTACTTTGGCATAAGAGGATCATTGTAGTCTAAAGTAACTTGATATGCATACCATGAGCAGGCAACCATTGGTGACAACCCTAGGAGATACAGAACAGTGACTATTACATGAAACAAAACAAAAACAAAATGCCAAAGATTTGGAATGATTATTTGAAAAGCTGTTCATTTAACCCTTAAATGTAGAACAAATAAAACCTTACCAAAGTGTTTTTAAAATGGATACTCTTTGATAAGTTGTCCTTACCAGCAAGTATGAACATGAATCCAACACAAAAGGTAACTTTTGCTTTAATCCTTTCTGACCCTCCGACGTTGGTGCATTTCATCCCCATCAGTGCTAATATGGAACCGAAAAATCCCAGACAAATAGAGGTGACCATAAGCGCTCGACAGACCAGGACATAGGCTAAATTTCAAGAATATCACAAATTACTCTCATACATGAAGTTTCAAAAGAAGTATCACATTTTTTAAATTAGTGCTTTGTTGACATTACACTGGAAATATAATTTCATTGTAAGGAGGCCGGTCAATCAATTGTGTCTGTGTTGTGTTACTTCCCCATTGAAACTATCTGTTCTACCCCATTTGCTCAATTTCTGTTGGCCTTTAACAGACCGAAAATTCCACTCAATCTTAGCATTTAAAATTTTCTTAAAATTCAAGATTTTGTAGATTTGTAGAAAATTCTTTAAATCAGTCTTCATTTGGGAATCATTATTCTATTTGATAGCTTCGACCGTCTGCAATCCTATATTTAAGGTACTGTGTGTCTATACCACATTGACTTCTGCCCTCCTTGGATAACTTTTCATTATTTTTAAATTCATTCTTTTCCCCAAAATAATTTTAATAATATTCCTTGCATTTGCTATATTGTCTTTCATATTAAGAAGATGTCCCAAAGCGCTTCACATAATATATGGTAAAATGGTGTGACTGTAACGTAGTGTGACTCTCATAGGTTTAAAACATTTTTGCATAGTGTATAAGGGTCCTGTTTATTACGCAAACAACTTTCCCCCTTTAGATCAAAAACTATGCGGTGATCATTTAAGATGTTAATTATTACATCATTATTTAGTGCATCTTCAGGATGTCCCAGCACCTTGGGGCATCCTCCCAACGTGAAAGGCATATAATTAACAAACCATACCCCACAATTCAACATAAAATATGTTGAAATCAATTGTCCCACTATTTGCACATGTTGTTGCCCTCATCATAATGATGCATGATTTTCTTGATTCTTCTCTATTCCCAATGTTCCTTCTTTACCTCCCCCTTCACCCACTCTCATGCCTCAGAGTTCCTGTATCTTTAAATATCAACAAAGACTGAGAAATAAAGAATATCAATGAATGATAAATAACTCTCACACAGCTATTTAACGGATGTAGAAAGAAAAACTCTAGCCTTCCTTGGCTAACTTAGGTCATATATTTATACCTATAGGAAAAAAATATTGGAGAAGAGGCTTTCTTTCCAGCAAGAAACTGAACAGTCTTATCAAATTGAAATCAGTCGGTCATTGCTCCATTCACGTTGAATCTGTGGTGATAATTGTCAACAAATGCCATGAAACACACTTACAAATGATCAGATCACAACAGATAATACATTTTATTGTAGACATATTAAAGGAAATTTAGGATAAGTCCAGGTTAAACCAGAAAGGATTTTTTAATGCACATTTTCTATATTTTTCTCCCCCCTTTCCCCCTCATGGTTCCCCAGCTGAGAAAGTGCAGACAATCTGTTCCCAATGTTCTTGTCTATCACCGGACAGAAGGAGATGAATAAAAGCTATATGCATCTGATTATCTGTCTCTTTCTCACTCTATCTTGCCCCTGTTGGCATCTTGTCTTGGGATATGGTTGAAATTGGCAATTCACAGTGTGTAGAAGCCTATATCCTAACATTATGTTATGCAGCATTTTGAAATCTAAGTGCTGTTCACTGGAACTGGATAAAACAATGATATTTTTTCAAAATTTCCTTACTCCACACACCTCTGTTTACCTAGTAGTAAGTAAGAACTGGTTATTAGTCAAATGGTGGATTGCTTTCCGTGGATAATAATTCCTTCAAAAAAAAAGAATTTGGTCACTCAATCCATCAATGTTTGTGGGACACTTTTGTGCACAATTGGCTGCCACATTTCGCCCACAGAATATAGTTAATTCACTTTACAGTATATTCTTTGAAGGATTTTGAGATCAAATGCAAGGATTATTATTAAAGAATGGAGAGTTTCTCCCAGTGCCTAGCCAAAATTCCCGCAAATAAAATTGTTCATTCAATTTACGGCTGCCGAGTTCACCCACAAAACATACAGAGTCACTGTGCATTACAATGAATCCTGTGAAGTGCTTTGGGATGAGTGCTTTTGACATGAAAGGCACTTTACCAAATATAAGGATTATTGTATGATTCGTATTATTTCTATGTCTGTTTTTAGCCTTTCTCAACATTTACCATTCTTTGGATGAGCAGCTGTAAACTCCCATTAATGAAGCCCTGGCTTAATGTATCACTAAGTCTCCATGCTGTCAATATCCTGCCACTTCCCATGAAAAGTGTTAACGCGGGGCACCTCTTCACTTGTCATTCTGCTTAACATGTAAGTAGTCTTTAGTCTCTCCACATAACTAAAGTCTCTCATCCTGGACCATTCTGATAAATCTCCTCTGCACGGTATCCAAGGCCTTAATATCCTTCCTATAGTGTGGTGCCTAGAATTGGACACAATATTCCAGCTGAGGCCAAACCAGTGACTTATAGAGGTTTAGCAGAATGTCTTTGGTTTTGTACTCTATGCCTCTATTTATAAAGTCAAGAATCCCAGCTGCTTCTTTAACAGCTCTATCAACCTGTCGTGCCACCTTCAAAGACATGTGTATGTGAACCCCAAGTTCCAAAGCCTCTACAAATGTTGTTTTGTAATTGGTTACTTATGGGGTTAAAAGTTTATACCTGTGGCTTGCAAACCTATTGGTTTTCTGAAAACCATCATCTTAAAATTTAAGCTTATCAAAATTTTGGAAATGTCTTAAATTCTGTTTTTGTTTGAACATCAGTATTATGAAGTGTCGAAAAATAATTGGAGAACATTAGCTTCCAAATTAAGGCTGAATTAAGGCTTACATTTTCCTAAAATTCTGCGCAATCTTAACATTTAAGATACAAGTTTTAAGATTACGTGCAAGAGACATCTCGGGAGATAACTTATCATCTCTGCTGGGGCAACTACCCACCAGTTCAATGTGAGATTTAAAACTCAATGTATGATTAATTGAAAATAATGTATGTATTATTGTAGAATACATTATTGTAGTAAAATGATGTAGGTTAAAAGTATGAACCTACAGTGTACCATTCTGTGGAAGGCTGCTCCAATTAATAAATTAAGAAACAATCCAGGAAGCAAAACAGCTGTTATTAAATTAATAGACAACAGGGGGCACTAAGTACCTGTTTCAGCCAAAGTTGATGTGATGTGGCTCCAGTGCATTTGTTTGCATGCTGTGAAGTTGTTTGCAAATAAAAAGATTTATTTTGAACAGTTTACAGCCATAAAAGTTGCTTCAGCTGCATTTGAGCTTGATGCTGACGTTTTGTAATAGCACTTGGAGGCATTTAGCTTGTTGACAGCACCTCTCAAGTCTTCTCTGTAGACCTTAGAACTATGAGGTATTCTTTACTGAGGTACATAGTGAAGGGCCAGGGCACAAATTGCAGAACAGTACCAAGTTTGAAATGGATAGGAGGAGAATGTGAAAGAGGAATTCTCCAAGTGCCACAAATTGCATAATTTATATATTATAGTTAATGTGACTTTCTCAGTGGCATAAGTTTTCCATACCCTGTAAGGTGAGAGAGATCAAGCCACAAAATACCTTCTGGCTGAGAGTTTTTATTTCAGATATTTCTGGTTTCAGTGAGAATATTCAGTGAGTTCAGATGATGGCAGTGCTGACTAATTAGGAGTGTTGTGGTAATTTAATGTGATGTAAGATGTACGAAACCTGGATCTGGTGGAATAGACTGTTCATAGACAAGTGGATTTTAAAAACATATCAATGGACATTAAAAATACCATTTTTTGTGATTGCAACTAAAAATAATATTTTGTACATGCAGCTACAATGTTAAAAAGCATCAGTGCCATTATGTATTGTCTGCACAGTGGCATATTGTAATCATCCAGTTCAAGCAGCATAGGATTGTTTCAAAATGCAAGCTGCCAAATCTCCATTAATGTGCATGATAATAGCTAGGAAGGATATTTTAATGTGTGGTTTATTTTAGTGGTGATGTAAGCATCTGGTTAGTCTTTCCAGTAATAATACCTCAAAGGCTATTGCAATAATGTGGAAAGCATGAAAACAAGCTGGAAGTAGATTAGTAAAGATTGAATTATTCATCTATTGCAACATAGTTCCACAATGCGACACTAAATAATTTGTCTTAAACATTATGGTACTGATCGGAATTTGTATTGCAACAACACAACAACTTGGATTTATCTGGCGCCCTCCATGCCGGACGGTGTCGCAGAGCGCTTCACAGTAACGGATCCCGGGGCTGACCCAGGGGGAGGGGGAGGAAGGTGACCAAAGGCTCGGTCGAAAAGAAAGGTCTTCAGCCGAGACCTGAAAATAGAAAGTGAGGGGGCAAGACAAAGGGAGTGAAGAAGGGAGTTCCAGAGCCTCGGGGCGTATTGGCTGAAGGCACGGCCGCCGTATTAAGATTGATGTCACTGCTGGCACATACAACATGTAAAGGGGGTGAAAATGGAGTACGTTATGTGATAATCACATCATATATTGGATTTTTCACTCCATTAAAATATTATTTTGTTGAACTATTTAAAATATTTATATAGTTGCATTAAAGGGATTAAATTGCATTGACTTGTGAGGCATAGAAATATATGAAAGACCAGGAAGAAGCCATTCAACCCTGTTCTACCCTCCAGTACTCAAGTATCTGTCTATCTCTCATCTAAACATCAGGTGTGTTCAAAGATGTGGATGGGATTTAAAGATACCTAGAGAGGGGGTAAAGCTGAGGGATAAAGGCAGGAAGTTCCAGGGGGAAGGGGGTGCTTATAAACTCAGTCACCCATGGTAGTGTTGAGGGGACAGGGGATCCACAGCAAGCCTGCTAGTTGAGTGAAGAGGGTGAGCAGACAACTGTTCTTTTACACCTTATGAGAGGTAAAAAATATGTCCATTCAGTGTTAAACATTTTCAAATACTTCATGATAATTTACATTTTAGTCTGTCATTACTTAGATGTGAGTGTGGTAACAGCTTGCAGGGCTTGACACTGTTATGTAACCTATTAGTCACCATTCAAAACTGTTAATGCAGATTCTCATCTTACAAACAAATTCCCTT